CATTAAATGATACAAAAAGGACAGTAACCGAACAAGACTAAAAATTTTTAAACAAATATAAACCTACCATTCTGAGGTAGCGAAAAAAAATGCATAATAGCAATAAAAAAATACTAATGAGTGGTGGTAGCACAGGCTAATCTAGATAACGAAATCTCATCTTCATCACAGTCATCAATGAACTCATTGAGTCAACATTAAAACAGCAACTAACAATTCTTTCGCGTCGCGAGTGCTTTAGGCAAGTCAGTACCTGTTATTCGGTTTACGACAATTAAAAGATTTTGACCTGACCTGGTCAAAATCTTTCCGGTCAAAATCTGTCAAAATCTCAAAAAAGCACAACTCTACGTAGAATACAGCGACGTAGCTTGTTGTTCTACAAAAATAATATTTTTAAAGATATGAACTAAAGTTATGTTTTCTTAAATGGAACACCCTGTATATTTATGAATTAAATGATCGGACTTGCCATAAGCTTCTCAAAAATATATAACAATCTATATTTATTTTCATTATTTAATGCAATATTTACAAAAATATATTAAAAGATCATATTTATTAGTAGGCCATGATTGATAATAAAAAAAAAGAAACTGAAGAATTATCAAAAGTAATATTACTATCTGTCTCTTGTTTTATCTTGAGAGCCACTAATTAGTTCTTTGTATATTAGGGAAACTTAAATCTCTACCGCTATTTGTAAATCTTGGAAGCTATCTTATTGGAACTTTTAAATATCCCTTTAGCTAATTTACGTGAAAAATAGTTTCAGCAAGATGGGGCTCCCCCTCACAACTTAACTTACAACGAAAATATTAGAATTTTGCTAAATTATTATTTCTCAAATCAATGAATTGGAACCAATATGATGACCTCCCTGATTCCCGGATTTGTCCGTTCTCGATTTCTGATTTTAAGGATTTTTGAAATATGAAATATATCGTAACACATAAACCCATCCCATTATAATAAATTCCGTTATGAAAAGGAGAAAAATATATTCAGAGGTTCAGTGGTAACAATTCAAAAGTAAAATATATTAATCCCAAATAAAATTTTAATATGTGTATGTCTATTTTAGTAAATACCATTTTGATTTTGTTATTTATCACGGCCTACTAAAAAAGATCATATGATTTATAAATATACAGGGTGTTCCATTTGAAAAAACCTAACTTTAGTTCATATTTTCAAAAATATTTTTTTCGTAGAAAAACGCCACTGTATTCTACGTAAAAAGTTCTACAAGAATCAGTTTTCATCTTCTCGATATCATTTATAATAACGGAGATACGGGGGCTGTCACAAATTACAAAATTTTCGAAAAGACCCTGTAGCTCAGAAACAAAGAGAGCTATGAAAATTTTGTTAACAGCATCTTTCGTTTGACAAAAAAGTGGCACAGGTTTGTGCAAACCGCACCCTTCTATCTTCACAAATAACGGAGATACCGTATGATTTCAACCAAAATGGGACACCCTGTACAATCATTGGTTATTGGCATATACTTGCCATGTGAGAGCGGTTTCCTTGTACAATTATTATTTTTCATTCGTTGCTTATTACAAAAAAATGTTGGTTACAAATTACAAAGATAGTATACTTGCCAAGTACGCAAATAATGGCGTACTTGCCAAGTACGCAAATATTGGCGTACTTGCGAAGTACACGAGTTGTGAGAATCCTTCTTGACATTCAAATTTTATCTACTATTTGTATAAAGAGTTATGTTTATGAAGAACCGTTGAAAACCTTTTTATTATTAATAATTTATAAAAAATGCATTTTTTGTAAAAAAATGGGTTTATACCGTTTATACTTTTCTAAATGTTCATACAATTTTAGAGAAATAGAAGAATATCATGGAAATTAAAAATCCTAAAAATCAAAACGCGTCTATGGTAATATCAATTTGTTTTCAATCTTTGGTAGATGATTATTATGAATTTAATGGCAAAAGAAGTACATTTTTTTTGGTCCAATGCTTCGAAAAGAATGAAACATTAACAAAAGCAGAAAATGTGACGTTTATCAAAATTAATAATAATCTATCGAAGAACGAAGACAAAATTATTTTAACATAGAAAAGCGTTTTGTATACCATATTTTTATAAGTTTTTTTTATTTTTCTCTAAACGATAAGGAAATCAGGAAAATTAAAAATGAGATTTAGACCAAGCAAAAACTTTTTTGAAGAATGCATTTTTTCCAAAAAGTTAATAATAAAAAAGTGTTTCCTCTAGTAAAGAGAATTCTGAGACATACTGTAGATATTAGATATTGTATTATAAACTCAGATGCAAAAAAAACGCACCGGAGAATTTTTTGGTCAGATTAAGTATTATATTTTTGTTATTTTCAGCCCTATTTTCATGAATTTTTTAGCAAGCTATATATAATTATATCACCTTTTATTCGTAAACTCAGTTTTTTATAAACTTTGGGGGGTTGTTTTTTACCTTAACTTTAAAACACCCTGTGCATAATTGCGTGTGTAAATTTTCCTAAAATATAATTTTACGGTTAAAACCATGTCTCCTGAGCATTTCGTTTTTTGGATCATGTCAATACATGCCTTGGTTAATTTTTAAGAACGAAATGAGCCTGTCAACAACAATTTGCAATTTTTTCAATTATCATTTCTTTTTGAATTTATTTTTCAATGTGACAATGGGGCTTTGGTGATTATTGTGAACTATATACTACTATAAACTGCGATGTTCGACGTTTTGCATGTTCGACGTTTGGCAAATGCTTGGCAGGAGAGTAAAAGGTCGCGCAGTAGTACCAGCTTCATTAAATGAACTTTGCATGGTCCTTAACGAAGAATGGCAAAAGATAACGCAATATGATATATGCAGCCTTAATGACAGTATGAACAGACGTATACAGGTAGTTATACTAGCCAGGGGCGGCAATACAAAGTATTAGGGTATTTTTCTGTTTGTGTACTTGAGTATTACATATGTTTTCTTTAATATCGTTAGTTCTGTTATCATTATTACTAATGTCTATTACCACCCGGACTGTATTAACGTTAGTTTTTAACGTTTTTATCAAATTCAGTATAGAGTATCTAATGCTGGTCTAATAGGTCGTTACGACGAAAACTATCTCATCATATTAAAAAAATTACATCAAAAAGCGTGTTAAGCGTAATAATTAAAAAAAAATCAAAATTGATCATTATCTGTTCATTTCGCTCTAAAAAATTAACCAAAGCATGTATTGACATGAATCAAAAAACAAAATGTCCAGGAGTCATGGTTCTGACCGTAAAATTATATTTTAGAAAAATTTACAGACGAAATTATTGTACAGGGTGTTTTAAAGTTAAGGTAAAAAAACAACCTCTCGATTAACCCTGTATAATATGCCAATTACTAAAGTTTATAAAAAGCTGAGCTTACGAATAAAAGGTGATATAATTATATACACCTTGCTAAAAATTCATAAAAATTGGGCTAAAAATAACAAAAATATAACACTTTATTGATTGAATGAATGAACACTTAATTTGACCAAAAATTCCTCGATTGTGTTTTTTGTATCTGAGTGTATTATTAAAAACAAATTTCTATAATATATTTCTATATTTTCTCTTTTTCCCAAAAAGTTAATAATAAAAAAGTGTTTTCTCTTGTAAAGACAATTCTGAGACATACTGTAGATATTAGATATTGTATTATAAACTCAGATGCAAAAAAACGCACCGGAGAATTTTTTGGTCAAATTTAAAGTATTATATTTTTGTTATTTTCAGCCCTATTTTTCAGTTTTTTATAAACTATATATCAGTTTTTTATAAACTTTGGGGGGTTGTTTTTTACCTTAACTTTAAAACACTCTGTGCATAATTGCGTGTGTAGATTTTCCTAAAATATAATTTTACGGTTAAAACCATGTCTCCTGAGCATTTCGTTTTTTGGATCATGTCAATACATGCCTTGGTTAATTTTTAAGAACGAAATGAACCTGTCAACAACAATTTGCAATTTTTTCCATTATCATTTCCTTTTGAATTTCTTTTTCAATGTGACAATGGGGCTTTGGTGATTATTGTGAACTATATACTACTATAAACTGCCCATCATATTCGACGTTTGGCAAATGCTTGGCAGGAGAGTAAAAGGTCGCGCAGTAGTACCAGCTTCATTAAATGAACTTTGCATGGTCCTTAACGAAGAATGGCAAAAGATAACGCAATATGATATATGCAGCCTAAATGACAGTATGAACAGACGTATACAGGCAGTTATAGTAGCCAGGGGCGGCAATACAAAGTATTAGGGAATTTTTCTGTTTGTATACTTGAGTATTACATATGTTTTCTTTAATATCGTTAGTCCTGTTATCATTATTATTAATGTCTATTACCATCTGGACTGTATTAACGTTAGTTTTTAACGTTTTTATCAAATTCAGTATAGAGTAATGCTGGTCTAATAGGTCGTTACGACGAAAACTATCTCATCATATTAAAAAATTACATCAAAAAGTAATAATAATTAAAAAAAAATCGAAATTGATCATTATCTGTTCATTTCGCTCTTAAAAATTAACCAAAGCATGTATTGACATGAATCATAAAGCAAAATGTTCAGGAGTCATGGTTTTGACCGTAAAATTATATTTTAGGAAAATTTACAGACGAAATTATTGTACAGGGTGTTTTAAAGTTAAGGTAAAAAAACAACCCCTCGATTAACCCTGTATAATATGCCAATTACTAAAGTTTATAAAAAGCTGAGCTTACGAATAAAAGGTGATATAATTATATACACCTTGCTAAAAATTCATAAAAATGGGGCTAAAAATAACAAAAATATAACACTTTATTGATTGAATGAATGAACACTTAATTTGACCAAAAATTCCTCGATTGTGTTTTTTGTATCTTAGTGTATTATTAAAAACAAATTTCTATAATATATTTCTATATTTTCTCTTTTTTCTTGTACTAGAATGTAACTTCAACTTTTCCTAAATAAACTTACTGCTGGTGTGGAATTTCTTGAGGGGATCCACGATGGCGAAAAATCGATCGGCCGATAGGGCGGTCAGGGTAAAAACGGACACTCCGATGGAGATATCCTTGGCGGTTTCGGATATTTTGCAGATAAGAGCGCCCCAAGGGTAGGACTCCACCGTGTAGATGATGGATGTGAACGGGACGCTGGTAATGATGACCAGGAGGTCGGCCAGAGCCAGCGAGAAGATGTATCTGAAAAGAGAAAACACTTTTTTTAAAATATACCCTCATTTTGAAAAGGATGTTTTCCTAATCAGCGAACAAATTGGTTTTTATATAATGTCTGTACTTTGTAGCGGGTTCTTTTTAGAGGTGGGCAAAGATTGAACGTTCATTTCAGTTCAGTCGTTCATTTCAACGAGTAATAAAAAGGAATCGTGAGATTCGATTCACTGCTTCACTGATTCAATACGTAGCCAGCATGGATCCATAACATTTGAACGATGAGCCGTAAAAAAAAGTCGTGAGAATTGTATTGGATCACAAAGCGATCGTTCGCTCAGAGAGAGTAAGAATTGATGCATTGCTTATAATACGATTCGTTTAATTGAATCGTGGCCAGCCCGGATCCATAACATTTTTACGATGAGCCGTAAAAAAGAGTCGTGGGAATTGAATCGGATCACAATGAGATCATTCGTTTCTACCGCGCGACGCGGCGGTGATATAGGCATAAAGTTAGGCACCAATATTTAGACTTGAATAAAAGCTCTAAGCAAACATCATTAAATTTTTCAAAATAATCATAATTTTGTCAAAAAAGTAGAAGAGTTTGGGAATTTACCGATTGGTTAACTTTAACCGCCAATAACTTTTGAAGGGGTAGGTTTATTGAAAAATTGTACAAGACCTTTTTTGTAGAGCGTTCAATTCTGTACAAGAATATGATTGTCATGGATGCTAGAGAAAAGTGATTGTCATGGATGCTAGAGAACAAGATCGAGAGAAAAAAAAATATTTGCGCAGCCTGACAAATTCCCATGTAATTTAAACAGGTAATGAATCGTCTTTTGGGACAAACTTTATTGTGAATATTAACGGTATAAAATGGTCTGTTATTTTTTTTAGACAATAAACTAAAAATTTAGAGGGCGTCGTGAGTAGAGAATGCAATCCCGCACCAAAATCTCAATCCCGCAAACCCGCGGGATTAAAGCAATCAATCCCGCGGATCCGCAAAATTGCGGGACTGTAAACAATAAATGCTTCTCTTTTCTCTCTCCGATTTTGAGATGCGGTTTGGACCAGATTTTAGACGCATCTATTGTGATTCAGATGCTATATGGTTTTCGAAAATATATTTAGCGAATTCTCGTATACAGGGTGTTTTATAATAGTATACAAATTTGGTTAAGAATCTTTTTTACCGAAAATTTACAATTTTTGAAAAATCGAAATGTACTATGTACGACTAATCTGTATTGAAATTAGAAAAAAAAAACAATTTGGTGGGTTTTTTTTAAATTTTTTGTTTTAAGAAAAAATATGCATTAATAGTCATATATTATTTGGTCCTAAATGATACAAAAGGCATTGTACATTTTGCATAGACCCACAATATATTGATGTAGCGTGTATTTTAAACTAGCTGTACAGAAATTTGGACCGATGTATACAGGGTTTTCAAAAAAAGTTTTTTTTAACTTGTATTAGTTATCTGCTTTTAGATACACTCTATCAATAATTTTTTGGCATATGTATGCAGAATGTACAAAGCTTTTTGTACCATTTAGGACCATCGTATGACTAAAAATGCATATTTTTCGAAAAAACGTCGTATTTTCCGTAAAAACCGATCAAATTGTTTTTTTCTAATTTCAATACAGATTAGTCGTATTTGGTAAAAATTTCGATTTTTTAAAAATTGTAAATTTGCGATAAAAACGATTCTTGACCAAATTTTCACACTCTTATAAAACACCCTGTATACGAGAATTCGCTAAATATATTTTCGAAAACCACATAGTATCTTAATTACAATAGAGGCATCTAAAACCTGGTCCAAACCGTATCCCAAAATCTTTTTTTAGTTCAAGAGATATTCAACTTTAAATTTACTAGTAGTGGGAACTATCGAATGAATACTATCGAAACATTCAATAGTTGCAATTCATTCGAATAATTCGATAGTTAGTAAGAAAACATTCGTTGAAAACTATTCGAATAAAAATTATCGAATAGATCCGTCATCTGCCTTGAAATATTGTATTCTAGTAATTCGGCAGCAAAAACCATTCATTTATAAAATTCATTCATTTATGAAATTCATTTATTCGTCAGGATCGATTATAATAAAATATTAACTGAATTTTAGTTGTCGCCCGGCGACGTAGGTTTCTTTCCGAGAAACCCGACAGCGGTCGGTGGCAATGCTATGAAAGAAGCCGGCATCTTTGATTTTTTGCCGAGTCAGATATAGATAAGGACACATTATTTTTTTATTGAGGTGCTAGTATTTACACTCGTGTGAAGTTGGCACCCTTTTTTCAAAAAATGAACTGGAATTTGAGAGTTCTGGATAGATTTACAATAGTTCTATAGTTCTTGATAAGTTAGAAAAATAGTTCTGGTTAATTTCGGGAGATATGACATGGGGGTGCCAACTTCACGTAGCACCCTTTTTTTATTCTGGAACAGTTCTGATAGTGGAAATATATTCTAGAACAAGAGTTCTATAGTTCCTGACTATTGAAAAAAATAGTTCTATTGTATTAACCAAGTTATGAACAAAAATAAAACGGCAGCCTGCGCAGTTTAAATCGATTTTCTAGGTAAAAAATGATTTAAAAAATAGTTCTGAATAGAGTTCTGAATAGCACCCCAAAAATTCTATAAGATGTACTATTTGATTTTTAAAAAATACCAATAATTAAAAATTTCATTGATGCCCGACTCTATAGATAGACATAAAAATCGACTTTACGAAGGAAATCCAATGTTGAAGAACAGTTCCAGTTAGAGTTCTGAATAGCACCCCAAAAGTTCTATAAGATGTACTATTTGATTTTTAAAAAATACCAATAATTAAAAATTTCATTGATGCACGACTCTATAGATAGACATAAAAATCGACTTTACGGAGGAAATGCAATGTTGAAAAACAGTTCTGGTTAAAGTTCTGAATAGCACCCCAAAAGTTCTATAAGATGTACTATTTGATTTTTTAAAAATACCCATAATTAAAAATTTCATTGATGCACGACTCTATAGATAGACAAAAAAATCGACTCTACGAAGGAAATACAATGTTGAAAAACAGTTCTGGTGAGAGTTCCGAATAGTACCCCAAAAATTCTATAAGATATACTATTTGTTTTTTTAAAAATACCAATAATTAAAAATTTCATTGATGCACGACTCTATAGATAGACATAAAAATCGACTTTACGGAGGAAATGCAATCTTGAAAAACAGTTCTGGTTAGAGTTCTGAATAGCACCCCAAAAATTCTATAAGATATACTATTTGTTTTTTTAAAAATACCAATAATTAAAAATTTCATTGATGCACGACACTATAGATAGACATAAAAATCGACTTTACGGAGGAAATGCAATCTTGAAAAACAGTTCTGGTTAAAGTTCTGAATAGCACCCCAAAAGTTCTATAAGATGTACTATTCGATTTTTTAAAAATACCCATGATTAAAAATTTCATTGATACACGACTCTATAGATAGACATAAAAATCGTCTCTACGAAGGAAATGCAATGTTGAAAAACAGTTCTGGTTAGAGTTCTGAATAGCACCCCAAAAGTTCTATAAGATGTACTATTTGTTTTTTTAAAAATACCAATAATTAAAAATTCCATTGATGCACGACTCTATAGATAGACATAAAAATCAACTCTACGAAGGAAATGCAATGTTGAAAAACAGTTCTGGTTATAGTTCTTAATAGCACCCCAAAAGTTCTATAAGATGTACTATTTGATTTTTTAAAAATACCAATAATTAAAAATTTCATTGATGCCCGACTCTATAGATAGACATAAAAATCGACTTTACGCGCAAAATACAATGTTGAAAAACAGTTCTGGTTAGAGTTCTGAATAGCACCCAAAAGTTCTATAAGATGTACTATTTGATTTTTTAAAAATACCAATAATTAAAATTTCATTGCTGCACGACTCTATAGATAGATATAAATGTCGACTTTACGAAGGAAATGCAATGTTGAAAAACAGTTCTGGTTAGAGTTCTGAATAGCACCCCCAAAAGTTCTATAAGATGTACTATTTGAATTTTTTAAAAATACCAATAATTAAAAATTTCATTGATGCACGACTCTATAGATAGACATAAAAATCGACTTTAGGAAGGAAATGCAATGTTGAAAAACAGTTCTGGTTAGAGTTCTGAATAGCACCCCAAAAGTTCTATAAGATGTACTATTTGAATTTTTAAAAATACCAATAATAAAAAATTTCATTGATGCACGACTCTATAGATAGACATAAAAATCGACTTTAGGAAGGAAATGCAATGTTGAAAAACAGTTCTGGTTAGAGTTCTGAATAGCACCCCAAAAGTTTTATAAGATGTACTATTTGAATTTTTAAAAATACCAATAATAAAAAATTTCATTGATGCACGACTCTATAGATAGACATAAAAATCGACTTTACGAAGGAAATGCAATGTTGAAAAACAGTTCTGGTTAGAGTTCTGAATAGCACCCCAAAAGTTCTATAAGATGTACTATTTGAATTTTTAAAAATACCAATAATTAAAAATTTCATTGCTGCACGACTTTATAGATAGATATAAATGTCGACTTTACGAAGGAAATGCAATGTTGAAAAACAGTTCTGGTTAGAGTTCTGAATAGCACCCCAAAAGTTCTATAAGATGTACTATTTGATTTTTTAAAAATACCAGTAATTAAAAATTTCATTGATGCACGACTCTATAGATAGACATAAAAATCGACTTTACGAAGGAAATGCAATGTTGAAAAACAGTTCTGGTTAGAGTTCTGAATAGCACCCCAAAAGTTCTATAAGTTGTACTATTTGAATTTTTAAAAATACCAATAATTAAAAATTTCATTGATGCACGACTCTATAGATAGACATAAAAATCGACTTTAGGAAGGAAATGCAATGTTGAAAAACAGTTCTGGTTAGAGTTCTGAATAGCACCCCAAAAGTTCTATAAGATGTACTATTTGAATTTTAAAAATACCAATA